CATGGCCAGTTCAGGAATTCTGGGAATTGAAGTCCACAAGTCATAAAAGGTCCATTATTCCCCCCACCTCTTCTCAATCTTGGCAACTTTGCGATGGGTGGGATTTCAACTCTCAGCAGCTTATCTTTACACCTTTAATAAAAGTTGCATCCATCTAGCCCTCTCGAGATGGGCTAAAAGTGTATCCCAATTTAAATCCAAACAGTTGGAAATGTAAGCAAATACAGAGTACCTTCTTTCACGTATGGTGGCTTTGTCCAAAAGTTAAGAAATATTGGACCAAAATACGAAAATGGTTAAAAGAAATTACGAAAGTCCAAATAGAATTTAAAGCAGAATTATTCCTTCTGGAATTATTAAAGGGAATTATACAAAAGAAATTAAATATTTAATCCTGCATATAATAACAGCAGCGAGATTATCGCTCGCACAATGTTGGAAAGGAGATTCTATGCCGACAGATAGTTTAATCATCCAAAAGATCTTTGACTGCACGGAAATGTAAACACTGTCAAAATGGATTGTAACATACATAACACTCTCATTTTAAATATTTGTATTGTATTTTGTATCTTAATGTTTTAATTTTTCAATAAAGGTTATTTTTTTTAAAAAAAAGTTGCATCCGATGAAGTGATCTGTGGTGTCCAAAAAGTTACACCTTTGAATAAAAGTTGCATCCGACAAAATGAATCTTTGGTTCCTAAAAGGTTACATGCCTTTCCAGAAAAATTGCATCCCATGACATGAACTGCAATCCATACAAATTTATGTCTTTCAATTAAAAAAAAATTGCATCTGATGAAGTGAGCTGTGCTTCCCAAAAAGCTTCCCCCTTTTGGTAAAATTTGCTTCTGAGGAAGTTCGGGAAAAGTTTGGCCCTTGGTTAGTCCGAAAAGAAACCGAAAACCCCTCCTGCTCTGCTTTTCCAGCCCAGCATCCCTGCCCAACCTGGACTGAAGGGAATTAAAAGGGCCTCTTTGAGAAACTGTCGTGTTTAAAAACCTCCCCAGGCCAGGAGAAACAGCAGGCAAGGAGGGTGTGTGTGGAAATGGCAAGGAACAGCCACTACGCTCTTTAACCTTGAACTGACCTTGCAGGGGAATTTCTGCATCTTCCCCATTTCAACACCTCCTGGCTTTCGGTTTAAGCGGGGAAGCCTCAGGTTTTCTGCAGGCAGGAATCACCATCACCATCATCATAAAAAAGGGGGTGGAGAGGCTACATAGCAGGCATTGCAGAATTGCAGCCTTGTATGAATGAAAACAAAATATTTTAAAAAAAAGGAGGGTGGGAGGGCAAGTGAGTTTGCAGAGCACAAAGGCGCCGAGAGCCCACTCCGTTACACATCTTGGGTTTTCTGTGCCAGATGTGGAAATGTTCCCAAAAGGTAGCTTTGGTTTGTGTGTGTGTGTGTGTGTTTTCCCTCTCTCTCTAGAAAACTCAGCCTTGCAGAATTCTCATGGAGGTTTCTCTATTTTGTGTGTGTGTTTTTAAATCGTTTTAGTATTTTAAGATGCAAGTAATATATGATTTGGGGACAATGGTGTTTATACAATATCAACCACTACAATGATTGAGATCATTTAAAGGATAACCAGGGATGGGTGGAGTTTGTAAATATTAACTATAGATTTCTGACGTTATTGTGAATGAATGGCCACCAGGTTGCTTCAATTGGACGTTTGGAGCTGAACATTTTTTTCTCTGAAATCTCTTCAGGTTTTCTCTTTTTTAGAAAAGCATTTTATTATATTTATGATACAAGCAATAGATCGTGCTAGTGGGGGGGGTATTTATGCAGTATTCAGAGAGGGGATTTTTTAATTGTTGTAAAAGCTTTCAAGATAAGGCGATGGCTTTCTATGAATTATGATTTCTGATACGTTTGTGCTGATGAACATCAGGTTGCTTCAACTGTGTAGTTAGAGTTGAATATATTTTCTCTAGAAAGAAGGTAGCCATTCAGAATTCTCTTGGGGGGAGGTCCTCCATTTTGAGGGGTGGGGGTTTGATGGCCTGAAGTCTTCGGCAGGAGGCAAGGTCTCCTGATGTCTTGGAACAGAAGCCCCTGGCCAAGAATTTTGAAAGCTCTTGAAGGACATCTACGGTTGGCCAGCAAACTTGGTCCAGCTCACACTTGGCTTCATACCACCAGCTGGGAAAGGTCTTCTCCATCGTGGCCTCTGGTGACCCAGGACCTTTGTCCCTGAGCAAGGTTTACCCCAACAGACTGCATGGCCCCCTCAGATGCCTGGTTGTCCCCCCCCCACCTCAAAATGGCTAAGAACGCGATCTTTCTGAACTCAAAGCTTTCCCTGGCGAGGAAGATGCTGGAGAGAAACTCAAGTGAATCAAAACGGTTGGTGGGAGGAAGCAGGCAGATGGGAACCAGAGAGGGTCATCAATCAATTCTGAAAAATGAAGGTTGGAGGAGGAAGAAAATGCTGTTTTCTCCCACTAGAACCGCATTTGGTACTTCTCATATAAAATTAATCATTGATAATGCACCCCAGAAGCCTTTAGGGCTGTGGGAGAACCTCTCACCGGGAGAAATAAGCAGTGTAGGGGCACCAATGATGGTTGTCTACCACCCCCTGGTGGTTCTCACAAGCAGTGAGTGTGCAAGGAAATGTGTGTGAGCGTGGCAGGCTGGGACGACATCTCAGGGGGAAGCTTCTCTCTGCTTAGCCCAAATGGTCTTCTTCCTTGTCCAGGTTCGGGGCAGGAGAACAAGGAGCACCAGAAGACGGAGGTGACATGTGGAAGTGAAGGAGAAAACTTTGGTGGGCTCCAACTTTAATGAAATGCAGGACATGGATGAAACTTTGCCCCAAGTTGGAAGCTTTGGTCCAGCAGCCTGGAGGTCTCCAAGAATGAGGGCGGGGGTCTTTCCCAAGAAGGTTTAGAATCTGGAGCCCTCAGGACGCAGAGCTTCTTCTGCCTGAACTACGGGCCTTCCTCTTCCTCTCCAGGAAGAATCATAACCATGCAAGGACTGAGAAAGTTCTCTTCGCTTTGGGTGACGGCTTTTCTCGATGGCTTTAGGTAGATCCCATACGCATCTTCCCTCCACCTGAAGGCCGGTCATGGCCCTCGTTTTTAACTCCTTCTCATTCAAGTAGGTTGCCTTAGGTTCCAACGAAGGGCAAGCTTGTTGCTGACCAAGAAGCAAAATTAGCTCCACGCTGCCACTCATCTCCTCTTGTAGCACAGATCATTTACAAATCGAGTGGATTCCCGCCGTTCACTCGGCCTCCAAAGGCATGGGTTCTTCTCTCTTCTCTTGGTTTCCCAGGCTCGTCCTACGATCCCGGGATTTTTCTCATCCAAACACCGACCAGGTCCGACCCTGCTTGAGTGGACAGTCCACACTCTAGTTCTAAACCGGTCCCTCTTTTGGCCAAAATCCTCAGATGGGATTGCAATGGGGGTTATTAAGGCAGGAAAAACCACAATGGAAGCTTCCACCACACACCACCTGGGAAGCAGAAACCCACCTCCACCTCCTGTCGAATGAGTAGCCTTCTCCCACCCTCCCACCACAGATACTGGGGGGGGGGAGGGGAAACCTCTGCTGTGAGGTTGCCTAGAGACCACAACAGAGAGATGGCTTGGAAAAGGTCAGGCGCACTGATATTGCGAAGGTCGGATGGAGACAAAGCAACAACAGAAAAGCCACAACGAAAAGCTACTACGGCTATTTGGATGAAGTTTAGTTGTTCAGTTGAGCAGAGTTTAGTTGAGCAGAAGGCCACACAGGATCTGGTCCAAGGGCAACAACGGAGCAGAGAGAAGGGGGGAACCAGCCATTACAAAGAGATTGACCTCCTCCCTCCACAGATGTTGACCTTATGCAAGTAAAACCAAATGTTGTCACCTCACAGCAGGACCTCTCAGCCCTCCTCACCCCAAAGACGCCTTAAGACCTTTAACCTCAAAACTGGAGAGCAAAGGCAGATAGTTATAGTAGTTAAAATCGATGTAGCTGCGATGCGTAATTATTTTCCCTCCCACTTACCTAATATAATCCTCTTTTGGGAGGGAACCTGGGGGGAAAAAAAAATCACAAGTACACACCACTCCACCAAGCCCAAAGTAGAAACCTGCAGAATTAGATGTAAAATGGTTCACAAACTTGGGTTACATTCGTTTTTGTTCTCTCAAGTGGGTCGTGCTAAGGGAAATCTATCCTGGCGGTTGGGTTGAGAAGCAGCTTCGCAGGACTTTGGGCAACTCCGTCTGGAGACAAACACAGCGGGAATTTTGAAGGAAAAGGAGAAAAGGTTATGGAATCAGGGCGTCAGCTCCATGCATGTCAGACAAAAACAAGGAGATGCGGGAATCTTCTATTTTAAAAACAGTTTTTATTCTGCATATTTAGAAATGTGTAATTTTTAATAACGGCAAAGGAAAAAAAAAATCAGCCACACCTGAATAGCTAAAGAACCGATTAACAGAATGCAGTGGTGTATTATCTAAACAGAAAGAGTGTGGATGTGCCATAATAAATTGTCTATTAGTAAAAAAATACATTTCAGGGCACATGGTACAGTATCCGTTATCACAAAATTACAGTTGGGATACTTCTGTCTTTCTTTTTTTTTCTTTTCCCCAAGAAGATAATCAAACTAGAGAATTCCAAGTTAGTCTTTAAATGCAGCACTTTAAAAAGGTAACAACTTTGTGCATTTTCAGTTTTTTGTTTGTTTATATATATATATATTTATATATTTTAAAAAAAGTCCTTGTTCTCGTGTACGGTAGAAATGCTGCGTTTATTGCTGCCAGATTTCAAAGTTCAAGGCTCAAAAGGTCTGAGAATACAAAGGTATTAAGAAACTTCCGTTTTGTATTTTATATATATATATATCTATATATATATAATACATATCCTCGTATATATTATATATATATATGAAAAAAGGTAAAGCTTATAAAAGTTAATTTACAAACCAAGAACAAAAGTGGTACGCACAAGTTTTTATATACAAGCAATCTAGAACATCTATAAATTTTCCTCCCCAAAATGCAACAGCAGAAAACAAAATGAAAAATTAATAATAATAATAATAATAAAAAAGAGAAAGAAAGAAAAATTAAAAAGGAAAAAAAGAAAGAAAAACATTACCATCGTTATGTTCTTCAGAATTCCCCTCTGCTTGAACAATGCAAAACCCAAGGATGCCCCCTAACTCTCGGTTTCCCTGCGAAAGTGTTCACACAACCCTCAAACCACCCATCCCTCTCCACCCGAGTGGTAATTTCTTCTAGGTCAGTACGGAAGCCCTACCAATGTAGTAGTCGTAGTAGTAGTAGTAGGGTGAGCTACGATGAGGATGAAAACTACGTTAAAAGCAGGAGGATAAGGCAACTCCGCTAAATATCATGTCTGTCACAGATGTGGTGAATTTAGAGAGGCACATGAACCACAATCGACCCCTTTGCGTTATTCTCTTTTCTTGTAACAAAAGGGGGTTACTGGGGAAAAAGTGGGGTTTTTTTTCCACACAAACAGGGTAACTTGCAGGTGAATATGAATCCTGGGTAAAAGGAGGACAATTTTCCCACTATTGTGCTAGCAAAATCTCCTTTTTTCACCCCTCCCCTCCAAGGGAGGGGTGAAAACACAGGGAGGCGGGGGGGGGGGGGGCCCTCCAGTTGCCATGTATGTGTGTGTGTGTGTGTTTGTGTGTGTTGTGTGTTTCCTCCAGAAAAGAAACGAAGGAATGGATATCACATCTTTGCATATTCTACGGATGATGGTTCGAGGTGTTTAAATTAAAAGGAGAAAACTTGTCAACAAGACCAGATAAATGAAAGAAACAACAACCGGAGATGGGGGGGGGGAGAAATCACCCCCTAATTCAACAGTGAATTATGAACCTCTGGTGGGGGGAGGAAGGGAAGGGAGGGGGGGAAAACACTAAATTGCATTGCTTCGGTGGTAGTTTTAAGGTTCTAAGCAAGGATGCGTTAAGTGTCCCGTTTTAAGGAAGGTGAGAGGCTCCCCCCCCCCCCCGCCAGGACGTGGCGTGGCCCCTGCTGACCGGTTTGTTTAGCTGCTGCAAACACATGTACCCTGATCCCACGGCTCAAGTACGTCCTGACTAGCTGCTGTTAGTCAAACCACAGATTGCTTAATACTAGGAGAACGGTTAATACTTGGAAAAAGTGGTTCAGTTTCTATGCAGGTGGTTGGTTGGTTGGTTGGTTTTTGTTTGTGGTTTGTTTGTTTTTTGGTCTGATTTTCTTTCTTTAAAAAAATCTTGGTTTTCGCACTCAGATCCACTCGCTAAAGGTAAGGGTTAGAAGTGATCTATTAGAACTGACACACAATTGGCTCCAACAAGATAATTAGGATCTCCGGGAAGAGACTTGTTCTGCCAAGTTTTGGGGTCACCTGTGGGAGGAAAACAACGTAGTAGTTTAGTATCCATCATCAACAGGGGGACATCTTGGACAACAGTACCGTTACAAAAGATAACAAGAATGTAAAAATGGCTCCGGGGTTTAGGGAGGAACAGAGGCAACACACATAACAAGGGGGCAGGTTTTGGTTTGATATTCTGATCTGAACCATCCTGGAAACACTTCAAGGGCCGATAGAAGAGAGGATGGGTAGCTTAGGTTGAAGTGGTGGGGTGCTCTCTGAGCGTGGTTGTTTTCTTGCAGGTATCACCCAGCACTGATGATGTTACGTAGTAGGGTAATGAAATGTCTGCAAGAAAATAGCCACGCTCAAAAGAGCCAACTTACTTCAAGGAATTCCTGTCTAGGGGACACTTCTCCGGTGTGGGTTACCACCTGATCTTCAACTTTCTAGAGTGGGTGTTTTTCAACCTTGGCCAACGGTAGACGTGTGGACTTCCAACTCCCAGAATCCCCCAGTTTAAGGTCTTCAAAAGTTACCAAGGTGGAGAATTCTAAATCGTCAGGTTGAGCCATAGGGTTCGGCAACCTGACATGCAGACGTTCCAACAGGCTGCGGAGATGCTCTCCATGGAATCTAACTTCAACTTAGCTTCAAACTATTAAGATGGTCATAGTGAGTATTCCTCCCCTGGGTAGGAAGGATGGCCAATTTTGGAGAGGCTCTTCGGATGACCTTCTGAAGCCCTGGAGAACCAAGCTGAGGCCAGCTGAAGATCAGGTCAAGGGCCCATACCTGCCTCGTAGGGGAGGACTTTTTCTCCTAGAGGGGGCCGTGTAGAGCTTTTATGGGGTGTCAGGCCAAAACACCCCCCCCCCCCCATACAACTCTCCTTCTGCACCCGTTTCCCACAACCTGGGCTAATTTTTGCCTGCTCGCTTTGCTTAAAACAAACCCATAAGGACAACAATGGAAACCCAACCTCTCGATGTTCCCTTCCAAAAGGGAAAAACAGTGAATGGTTTAAAAGAACGGGGCCACCAAGAGCAACTTTCAGACAAGGGTGGGGAAACCACCCCGTGACTTTTAGAGCATCTTGTCTCTATTAACCATGTTAGAACTGTGGCTGCTAAGAATTGTTGGATCACAATTTTGCGACCTCTTTTCCACACCACTGTTTCCTCTGGCTATAATATAAGTCTCGTCACAGAGCCCTGCTCTCTAAATGGATGCCCTGTTGATTTTAGGTCTAATGTGAGTTATTGAAATACAAGCCAAGATAGGATGGCACCTTAGTTTCTAAGCCATGTTGACCCTCCCTTTCTAAGCCAGCTCTTTCTGCAAACGTAAGGAAATCAGATTGTTCAGAACAAAGCTAAGATTCACTTATAGGGTGTGATGCTCAAGGCAACCTGACAGGTTAAGTTACTACCTCCTTATGTTGGATTAATAGCACTTAGTGATAGCGCTTAAGACTTACATGCCGCTTCACAGTGCTTTACAGCCCGCTAAGCATTTTACAGAGTCAGCCTCTTGCTCCCAACAATCTGGGTCCTCATTTTACCGACCTCAGAAGGTTGAAAGGCTGAGTCAATGTTGAACCAGTCAGGATCGAATTGTTGGCAGTGGGCAGAGTTAGGAAGAGCAACAGCACTTAGACTTATATACCTCTTCACAGTACTTTCCAGCTCTCAGCGGTTTACAGAGGCAGCGTATTGCCTCCAACAATCTGGGTCCTCATTTTACCGTCCTCAGAAGGATGGAAGGCTGAGTCAACCTCGAACCTGTCAGGATCAAACTTCAGGCTGTCGGCAGAGTTAGCCTGCAATACTGCATTCTAACCCCTACGCTCCCACAGTGATTAAGATGCAACCAAAGTTAGCCTGATTTCTTTCTAATTGTTTCTTCCGGTTACTCTTGTTTTGGAGTAAATCCCAATTATCCACTGTTCAATTTAAGCTCCGTATCGATTTCCACTACTTGTGCCCTTATCTTTTACGAACGTGCAACCCCTGAAACTCTTGGGAATTTCACAATCAGACACTCAGAACAACACAATGGGATTATGTAGGCAACCAAGAACGTTCTTCCAAACCCACACCATTCTTGTGAGGAATGTGTGGAAATAACCAGGATCCACACTACGACCAAGTTGCTGGTTTGAATAGCGACCCATAAAAAGGGACACCCTTGAATTGTGACCTCCTCGGAATTGCAAAAGCGAGCCCATGTTTAGGAGAGTCCAGAAAAAATGCTTCCAATTCTTAAAAAGGGGCAAATTGTTGGTTAATTCTGAGCTCCCCAAATATTTTGCTTTTCAGGTTTTATTTTTTTTAAATAGAACATTTTTTAAAAAAAAGTCGAACATCTACTTTTAACACTGAGTAGACATTCAGCCCCTTAGCTAGATCGCACAAGTGCTGGTTGACAAGCCAACTTGGAAGGTCATCTTTGGAAGCTGAGGTTCACCAGAGTGTTAGGACTAAAAGTCTCCAATTTCCAGGGGCAACAGAGGAGAGAAAGCTGGTGGAGGCTTGGCAGGCAACGATTTTTTAGGACGGAAACGGCAGTGTGAACACGGGAGATTCGTGGTTAGTTCAGGGAGAGAAACCCCCCCCCTCTGAGAAGCGCTTGGCCCCTTGGCATTCAAGGATTCAGGGTGCAATGGGTCGTTTAAAGTGAGGTGTGAAAGTTGCCCCCTTGTGCTTCATGAGATGAGATGAAAACCAAAAAAAGGACAATATAATTGGAAGGATAATGTGGCCAGCACATTTTGAACATTTTGTTTTGTAAACAATGATGTGTTGCGAGAGGTTAGTATGCGTCATAAAATGTTCATTTCGAGAAAGACAAGAGCATGGAAAACATGTTAGGAGAAGCTCAGGAGAAAGAGACAGCGAGGAAGAGAGCGAAGAATCAATTAAGAGAACGTTTTTTGTTTTTTTTTTCGTTTGTTAGTTGGTTGGTTGGTTTAGAAAAAAAAAAAGGAAAAGAAAACGTATTTATTTAAAACATTGTATGGCTTTTACACATCAGAAGACAGAGTTGGCCAGTGGTGAAAATTGTCCAGTGGAGCAACGCAACAGCACACTGAATGAAAGTTAAGCTGCAAAGATGCTCGAGTACAAACAGGAAAAGGCAAACACTTTTAACACTGACACCCGCACAACCACAGCAGCGCCCAACGAAGACCCCAAACGCAGAAGCACGGGAGAAAGAGAGAAAGAAAGAGAGAGAGAGAGAGAAAGGGAGAGGGAGAGAGAGGGAGGGAGGGAGGGATGGAGAGAGAGAGAGAGAGAGAGAACGTGGCAGGGCCACCACAAACCCTCTTTTCCTTCGTTTCAAGTTAATTCGTTGCAAAATAAAAGGAGATTGAAAAGCAGGGTCTGTGAGTCAACATGAATGGGGGAGAGGTTGTGGATCCTCGTGATTGCAAGAGGTCCATTTTTCTAAGGCTTCCCAATTTATTTTTAAGAGGGTGGGGTGAGGAAGAGGGGGGGAGGCGCTGACACCCAGCAGCATCGCAATCCACAATGCGCTGAATTCCAGTAAAACGCAACCAGTGACGGCTTCGCTACAGAACTAGACCTCCTACTAAATGACCCAAATGCTGCTTTCGGTTCCCCCATCCACACATTGGCATTGAAAACGATAAAAGATACATGAGTGAACAAGTACGAATACATTTTTTTTAAATACTGCACACATAAATACATTGCTTCTATATATACCATAGGCAGATATGTACACATCGAAGGATGCCAAATATCTTACGGTTAACGTGGCTGGAAACAAACACCCCACCCCCCCACTCTTTAAACTTTTTTTTTATTTTAAAGTTATTGCTGTGCCCGTAAAAAGCTTTGCTGTGCTTTTTCTAAACTCTTACTCTGAAGTTCCCATCATACAATTGCTTAAATTTTACACCGGGGCTCCTGTGCTCGGAGAACACGTTGGACCTCAAGCCAACGAGACGTTCTCCCTCTTCAGGGCGGGGTGAGTGAATGAGTGAGGGGCTTTCGTTCTTACGACTTGAGGGCAGCACGGGAGAATCCCACCTGCTCTGCCAGGTTTCTCTGAACTCAGAACACCTTGCAAAGCCATTCGTCTCTCCGTCACATCTCCAAATTTAGGAAGGAAGCATTAGATACAGGTAGTTCTCAACTTACAACAGTGCAAAGTTATGACGGGCACTGCAAAAACCTGACTTATGACCCCTTTTCCCCCCCCCACCCTTACAACCGCTGCAGGGCTGCGCGAACAAAATTCAGAGGCTTGGCAACTGGCTTGAACTTGTGACGGTTTGCAGAGTCCCGGGCTTGTGCAAATCCCCCTTTTGCCAACCTTCCAACAAGCAAAATTGAATAATTCAGGTATTGGCTGACAAATTGTGGCAAGGAAGGTCTTAAAACGGGGGCGGAAAACTCCCTCGATAACCATCTCAACCACAGAAAATTTGGGCTTAATGCTGGTCATAAGTTGAGGACTACCTGTTTATGTTTTTTTGGGGGGGTGGGGGGTTGTTTGAAAGCAAGGGCTTTTTTTGGGTGGGGTGTGTGTGTGAGAGAAAGGTCCCTTTTCTTAAAACTGCCAAATCCCCCCCGTTCCATCAGAAAAACCCTGTGCAGATGTTCCTTGCCTTTGGGGTTCAGGGGACGGAGATCGGACGAGTGACGAAGAACACAACTGGGAGACACAACTTAAGACACAAAGGACCAAGAGAAAAAAAACCCCAGAAAGAAAAAAAGGAGCAGATTTCTCGTCTATTAAAGTTATCGGTTGCTCGCCTGGAAGGGCACCTTGGCGGCTGTGCCCGTCTCGCCAGAAAGGGGAGAGAGAAAGAGAGAGAAGGAGGGGAAAGGAGGAAATGGCACAAGGCAAAGACAGCGGATAGATAATGGCGGCATTAAAACCGGACTGTGGGAAACGTCCTGGATTATCTACCGTGTCGGGTTTTGATTGGACTCATCATGATTTGGTTGCAAAATGGTTCGGTTGTTTTTGGTTTTGGTTTTGAGGAAGGGTGAGGAAGACGCTGGCAATGACACATGAAATGGAGAGCGGAGACAAAAAAGACCAAAGAGAGATATAGTCCCATCTCAAGATTTCCACAGTGGGGGGGGGGGGGGGGGGGGCCCCCCCCCCCACCTGGGACAGGTGAGCTTAAATTATTCGATAGCACCCATAAGCCCCCAAAGGACAGAGGGAGGACAGCATACCCGACGAGGAGTCGGAGGATTTTAGAGCAAAAGACCAACCATCAGGGGTCATAGACGCACAATGTGGCAAACGCAGCTCGACGGGCTTCTGGAATTTGAGTCCATGCGGCCCACACATGACCAGCGGGCTCAGGAGCGTCTCGCCTGCGGAGGAGGACAGGAAAAAAAGAGAGGCGTGTTGTTAGCAGGGACTTCGCACCCCTCCCGACGGGCCCACCTGAGCCCACAGACGCACCTTCTCTCAGCTTGGAAGCCGTTTTTCTTTTCCCTTTTTTAAAAATAGCTTTTATTAAAATTTTACACTTTTTAAAAAAAAATCATATACACAATTTTTGCAGTAAGTTGTGGCATCGACTTTTCCATTTTCATTTACACAAACACACACACACACACACAAATAAATAAAACAAAACAAACTATTCTAAAAATACAAGTTCCAGGTATACTTTTAAAAGAAGAAATAGATATCCTGCAATCTCCGGAACTTAAAATTACATTTAATGTACTTGTAAAGGCAGAGATCTCTGTAATGGTAGCTTAATTCTCTGATGATGTCAGCAGAGGCTGATGAACGCTTAGTAAGTACATTAAATGTAATTTTAAGCTCTGGAGATTGCAGGATGTCTGTTTCTTCTTTTACATACATACATACATACATACATACATACATACAAACATATAAACACACACACACACATATACATACACACATACATATATATATAATTTACATTTACATTTTGCATTATCTTTTATTCCTGTTATCTAACCAAATATACCATTTTTCACAGACCATATAATATTCTTGTTCTTCCTTCTCCTGCAATTCCATTGTACGTTTATTCATTTCTGCACAATCCATAATTTTCTTTGTGATCATATTATCTGTGAGACTGCTTTCTAATTTCCAATTTGGAGCATACGTCATTCTAGCTGCTGTCAGCGTATGTATTATTCAATGTCCTCCTTATATTCACCTCTGATTATCCCTAATAAAAACATTTCAGGCTTTAAGTTCTATTTTTAAACCAATTATTTCTTGCAGCCAGATCCTTATTTTATTCCAAAATTTCTTTGCTGTAGAACACAACCACCACATATGAAGGTACCTGGTTTCTTTTTGCATTTGCAACATGCCGGGTTCAAATCTGGGTAAATTTTGGCTAATCTCGCTGGTGCTAGGTGCCAAGGATAGAACATTTTGTAGATATTTTCTTTGTGCGCAGCTGCCATAGTTAATTTATAGTTTTTCATCCAAAGTTTTTCCCAATCTTCTAATTGTATATTATATCTGAAGTTTTTCATCCAGGCAATTATTGTTTGTTTTACTAACTCCTCTTCTCTGTCAAATTTTAGAAGGTAGCTATACATTTTAGTTATACATTTTTCTTCTGGTCCTAATAAGATTTTATCAATTGGTTGTGGTCTTCTAACTATGCCAAATTCTGGAAGCCATTGACTTCTGGGCTGCCACGTTCAGCGCCTGGGAAATTGGGAGGTAGGGGGACTTCAAGGAGCGGTGGAAAATTTCAAATAACGCCTCATAAAAATTTGCTTTCAAGGAAGTACCAGGGAAGATAGATCACAAAGAACGAACTTTCATAGAATAACAAGAGTTGGAGGTCATCTAGACACGTCCTTCAAGAAAAACACACACACACACAAAATAAAGTCCAGCTGCCTTTTGGAAAAGCACCTCTGGGGCAGGTAAGGGCCATGAAAGCTCGGGGGCCATGATGGCGTATTTGGAAATACCAGAAGTGCCCAAACGGGCCTGTTTTTCGGCCTCCTTCCCTCGAGCCCCTGGGAGGGCAAAAACAGCCGCAAATGGGCTGAAAATCAGCTGGGAGCCGCGCATGAGGACTGCAGGTAAGAAGGGGGTGCTGTTGCACGCATATGCGCAGGGGGGGAGGCATTGCATTGTGGGTGCCGGTTTCGGGACACCACAACAGAAAGGTTTGCCATCACTGGCTTAAGGGGAAACGTTGTCCTCTTACCTTTCTCTTTGTCTAGAGGCGGAAGGATGCTGTTATCCCGGCAGACTTTAAAATAGATCTCCTGCTCTATCCCCTCTGGGATGGCTCCTTGCGGTATAATGATGCTGACGCCCGTCTCTATGGAGCTGAGGACGCCCCCGTTGCTGTTAAAAACGCCCCTCGCGGTGGCGATGACCGTGTGGCCTTCCTCTTCCTCGTCATCTTCCAAAGCTGAAGGACTGAAGACAGAGAGACAGGGAATTGAGACCGGGCCTTCGAATTGCTCCCCGGCGCATCCGGTGCTTTGCTCGCAGGCGTTGTACTACCCAACTAAATCGCTTCATCAGCGCGAGGGAGTGTGGGGCTGGCTGCCCGTTTATGTGCAGGTAGCCCCCCCCCCACTACTTGCGATCACAACCGAGATCTGAATTTCTGTTGCTAATCGAGGCCGTCGTTAAGCGAGTCAGGCTCAACTTTACAACCTTTCTTGTACAATTGTCAAGCAATTTTTTTTTTTAAAAAAATGTCTTTCAACGACCCTGTAATCCCTTCCATCGGGGTGGAGTTGGGGCCATGAAATGGAGCTGAGTGTTTACTGGCCAGATGCCCTTCCTATTGCCAATGCAGAATTAGCAGCTGCTATATACTCATCGTGCCCAGAGAGAGGAAAATCTGCTGTTATCTAGGATCGAACTCATAGCCTCCTGATTGGGGGGTGAGAGCTCCACTTGTGATGACCCAAAGGGGCGTGGCACAAAGGCAACACAGTCACATAAGTAAGAAGAGTCCCTTTAATACCTCCCAACTTTGCCCCCAATGTCCAGGTTACCTTCGGCTGGAGAAAAAAACTCTCCCAGGAAGAGTCTTTAAGTGGAGGAAATTCAGTCCGAAAACAAAGTACATACAAACTGTAACTAAAAATCCACACAAACCAGGCTGCAGCAATTAACTGGACAGGGCAGGAGAAGGAGTTGCAGACTTCAAAGGCCAACAAAACACACACAGTTGGGAAGACGCCGGGAACCCAGATAAGCCTCAACAATACCAGATAATTCACGATTTGCTCCCAACAGTTTGCTGTGCGCAGCTTCCCTTTTTAAACACCGTGTTCCCAGCTGCAGCTAATGAAGGGAACCAGGGCCCTTTCTTCCCCCGTAAGCCATGCAACTCATGTTGCTCCCTTCTCCGTTCCTCCCTGCGTGCCCTAGGATAAAGAGGGAATGGGCCTGGATCTTCCTCTGAATTCCCTCTGCCTTGGTCTACCTCTCCCCTGCTCTGCCCAGCCGGTCTTTGCCCTTCCCCAGTTTCCTCCACAGCCAACGGAGCCACACTCCCACTCCCTGTCAGCTGCTCGGCTTCCCCCTCCGAATCAGATTCCGACAGGGGCATGACACCACCTCTAAGCCACCGTACCACCCAATTATCAAGTGAGTCACTATGGTTATTAAGCTAATCACACGGTTGTTAAGTGAATCTGTCTTCTCCCCCATTGACGGGTCAGAAGCTGTCTGGGAAAGTCCCAAACGGCGGTGGCACGACTGGTGTAAAAGACGCGGCCCTACTACGTCCTTCAGGGGAGCTCCTTACCTGACGGGGATGGCCTTCGGCACGGCGCTGATGTTATTTGGTTGGTACTTGAGTTTGTCCCCTTGGCCGGAGAAGCTCTCCAGGTTGCTCTCGAACTCGGGCTGAGCGGAGCTGTGTGCTTTCAGAAGAGGCTGGGGAGAATGCTGAGGCTTGGCTGAAGGTATCTCGGAGGGCTTCGGGAGGGTCTCCTCCGGCAAGAGGTTGTGGTTGAACTTGGGGCTCTCAAACTTGCGCTCGAAGGGCCGGGCCGCGCTGGTGTAGGGCTTGGAGGAGGTGGCGAAGCGGTTGTAGGCGGGGGTGGTGGTTTTGGCGAGCTGCTCGACCCCGTTGATGGGTCCTTTGTCAGGGAAGCTCTTCTGAGGGTAGTAAGTAGCCTGCACCGTGTCTTCTCGGCTGGAAGATCTGAAAGCTGCTGGTTTGTTCTGAGGCAGGGGCGGTGGCAGCTCCGGTTTGGACAGCGGGGAATTCTGGAAGTCTGGCATGGCAAGTGGATGGCAATAAAATATGTTTAAAACAAAAGGCGAAAACAAAGAGGAGGTGGCAATATCTTAAAATCTGCAAGTACAAGTTATTGAGCCATCCCATTTCCTCCCGACCCCACCTCCTTTTAAAAAAAGAAAGAAAGAAAGCAGAAAGCTAAATTAAATCCATCCGATTCTAAACAATGACATCACATAATATTGGAAGTTAGAAACAGCCCCCCAAAGTCACATTCCCCAATAGAAGTAAATCAACGTTGCCTGGTGTCATCTATCTTCACCTCCAGGTCTCAGCAGGGTCAGCTTTCGTTCCCACGTGAAGGAGAACCACCTAGCCTAAACAACCCCTTATCTTATCTCCACTCCTCCCACCTTAGAAATGTGTGGCAAGCTCGAAACTCTTCCTCCCGTAACCAGCAAAGAGAAAGGAAGAAAAAGAATGTAAGGTATGGCTAAATAAAATAGCTATGCATATGTCAATTTCGGGCTTGACGGTCTGATTTGCTACCCACAATCCCCCAAACGGAAGACACAAATATTTCCGTGGAAGCAGGACGCATCTGAGCCTCACCTTCAGCCAAGACCGACTTGGGTTGAAGAGACACGATGGGGTTATTGATGGACTGAGGTTGGGTGTACTGGACGGAGGGCACCGGGAGAGTTACTTGAGGAGGGGGCTCGTAGCGCTTGTCCCCAAGGCCCCTCTCCAGGGGCTCCACGTCTACTGATTTCCCCCTAGTAGGACACAAGAAAGAGACGTCAACCCTACCACTTCCTGACGTTCCGTTTCCCTGATTCAATTCCCGGAGACTCCCCAACAACTCCACCCACAAAGAGTAGTTCATTTCTGGGACAATTCCATGGATTTCAACTCCAAGAATTCTCCAGGCCTGGCTGGGGAATTTGGGGACAGTCTCTTGGCTGGGAAATTCTGGAGTTGAGTCTCGCCCATTTTCAGCTTGCAAAACGCTGTTTTAGACCGGGGCTTTAGACCGCCCACATGGCCTGCGGGAACACAAAGCTTGCGTCGCTTGCATTGCGAACAACACAAGGTAGTGAGGGGAGGGGGGAAAGGGCGGAGGGGGGGATCTTGCCCCTCTTGCCCCACGCGCCTGGCCTGGCCACTGAGCTGCTTCTTTCCGCTTCTTTCTTCTTCTGATTTTGGCTGCACGCAAGGAAAGCAGCCAAAGTCTTTCTTTCTCTCCCCCAAACTCCGCCAGAAATGAGTCTTTCGGATCCTGCAAGGTCTCCTGCTCCAAGAGGCTGCGCCGACGTGACAAGTCTCACAAAGACTCATTTCTGGCGGAGTTTGAGGGAGAGAAAGAAAAAGTTCTGCTGCTCCTGCTGCTTTCCTTGCATGTAGCCAAAAGTCTCTCCCCCCCCCCCCCCCCCGAATGGAGCTGGAGACGGTACCCTGCGATCCCAAATAAAGAACGATCGATTGGTAGGAAAATGGGGTGGGAAATTTTCCTGCAGACTTTTTTGGGGATTTTCCCAGGATCTCCGGTCTGCGGGATTTAAAATCATGAGCTTGGTGGTCCCTGAGGTCCAAAAGGTTGGCGACCCCTGGTCTAGTCCAATCCCCTGCTCACGAAAGAGGAGGAGGAGGCCTGCAGAAAGAGGAACGAAGCCTTACTTGGAAGAGTAATTGGTGTAGTTCAACTGATTGTGAACGGCTTTTCCTGGCTCCGCATGATGGCTGCTGGGGACTTGGGCGGCAGGCTTGTTGTCGTAGCTCCGGCGGTCGAAATAGGAGAGCTGCTTGCGGTAATATTCCTCATCTTCTTCCGGGTCGTAATGGTTGGCTCGGACGATGTCCTCAGGAGGCTTGGCTTGAGGTCTCTGCGGTTCAGGGGCTCTAGCAGCACCAGAGAAATTCAAAGGTTTTTTTTTAATTTATTCCGCACCTTTATTGGTTTGATAAAGAACTCAAGATGGCTAACGTCTTTCCTCCTAATTTTCCCCCGCTTGGAAAACGGCAGGATTTGGGCGGAAGGGAGAAGTGGGAGCTTTCGCGCAGGAAGGAACAAACTCCAAATTGCGCTACAAAAAAACACGAGGTTTGTATTTTAAAAAGTAGGAACCGCGGCACTTTGGGTGAAAAGGTAGTCCTCGCTTAACGACCTTTCACTGGGATTAAAAATTAACTCTGTGGCCGACCCTCGCCAAACAGAGGGGCTTCGCAGGCCTGCAAAGTGAAGGAAAGCTGAAGCCAGATCCTAAAGTTTCGTTGAAGGACTGCTTCATTCAAATGACCAAAGGGCCAGTTCTAATTGTGGTCACTAAACGAGGACTACTCCTAAGTCAGTGAACAGACCGGTTCCATCTTTGGGATCATTTAAGAGGAACAAGCCACAGAGCTGTCTCTTGGTGAAAAAGCAGGCACCAGAGTCACCGCCAGGTTGACGCCGGCAGCTTGTGTGTTGATGGTGTGTCTGTTGCACACCTCTGCCTGCATTTACCTGTACGCTGATTTGTCGCTCGGGTTTTGAGAGGCTGTTTTGGGGCCGGTCAGCGGCGCCACATTTGGCTTAGGCGCAAGTTCCGGAGGATGCTAAAAAGCAAAGAGAGAGAAGTCAGAGAAGAACGGCCACAACCCCACGGAGGAGCTTATTGGACGACAGTCTGGGCAACCCAGCTTCCTGTCTGGACAGAGGAGTCGGTCCAGCTAGAGAGCGCCCGGCACTTTAAAAAGGAGAGCCGTTTCAGCAATATTAACTTCCGGTGTGGATTTAATTCTCCTGCCCTTGGAAATCAATCAGCATCACCTCAATCGTTTACAGTGTGAACCATTTTTAAGTTGATATTGCATAAAATGGCTGTCCTTGGGAAGGGGAGAAAGGAAGGGAGGGAGGGTGGGTGGGAGGGAAGGAAGGAAGGAAGGAAGGAGGAGGGAAAGAGGGAGGGCGGAAAAGAAGGAAGGCAGTACGGGTGGAAAGGAGGGGACAAAGAAAGGAAGAAAAAGAGGGAGGGAGAGGAGGAGAAAGAGGGAGGGAGGCGAGAAAGGAAGGCTGGAAGAAGGGAGGGAGGAAGGGGAGAAAAGAAGGAAGGCAGGGAGGGAGAGAGGGAAGGAGCAGAGAGAGGAAGGGATGAAGGAAGGAGATGGGAATGAGAGGGAGGGAAGAGAGGAGCTTTAACTGCCTCCCAAGTGTTATTTCTCAAATCCCCCAATGCCCTTCTAGATCCCACCAGACACTCCCAGAGGAAGAGGCTGCCCAGAGCCCTTCCGTGGCTCTACCTTCACCGCGGAGACATCGTTCGAGTCCTTGATCTTTTCCAACGACGAGGAGCGCTTGTTCTCAAACATCTTCACCCGGGTGAGCACCGACTGGGGTTTCATGGCCGGGTCGTCCTCCTCCTCCTTGGCGGGCGGGGTGGGCAGTGCTTTACTGTTGCAAGGCAGGGCTTCGGGCTTGCTCTGGGGAGGGAGGGGCGGGCCCCCGGTGCCGAGGGCCGCCTCGTAGGGAGCTGCTTTGGTGCTGAAACCCGGTGGAGGCGCTTGCTCGTAGCCTCGCGGTTGCGACTCGTAGTAATGCTTCGGTTCGGGCGACCGGGGCACCGTGGCAGAATATGGCTGGGGCTCCGACTTGTACCTCCCGTGGACTTCGTAGCCGGGGGGAGGGGGCTCCTCGTACCTCAGCTGGGAGAGGTTGAAGGCTTTCGGGCCAGGCTCGTAGCGGGGCCGGCTGTCGTAGGCCACGGGCGTTGATTCTTCGAAGCGAGGCTGTGCCGCGAAGTAGCCGCTGCGCGCTGCGCTCTCTTCCGTGTTGGCCCGAGGGTCAAAATCCCGGGGCGGCTGGCTCTCGTAGGGGGGCCGAGGCTGGTAGGGCTGCTTCTCCTCGTAATACATCCAGTGGTCTTCGTAAGGGGGCACGTGCTCCTCGTAGGGCAGGCGGGGGTCATAGCTGTGAGGGAACGGGTCCACGTAGTTGGAGGAGTCATAGCGGTACGCCAAGGGCTCGTAATCCCGGTTGGCCGGTTTCTCCGGATACGGACCCTGTAGTTCATAGGTCAGATTAGGGTCTTTCTCTTGTCTCTGTCCTGGCTGCTTCAAGGCAAAGTTTTGACGAGGGAGGTCCTCGTTTACAAAAGGCTCCTTCCGGTACATCTGTGGAAAGAGAGCGTTTCGCTGCAGTCAGACATTTCTGAATTCTACATCAGGGGTCTCCACCCATGGCAACTTTAAGACTTTTGGACTTCAACTCCCAGCAAAGCTGGGTGAAGAACTCTGGGAGTAAGTTGGAAGTCCACAAGTCTTAAAGTCGTCACGGTTGCAGAGCCCTGATCTAGAGTCAATACATCTGGATCAAATTAGGGTTTTACCACACCCAGATCATCGCAATTTTAGCCATTTTCAAAAGCTGACCGGCATTCCTTGCTTAGTGACTGCCTTGTTCAGCAACCAAACGGCCCAATTCTTGCATTTATGATCCTCCCGGCTGTCTGAAGCCAAGGAAAGCTGAAGTCAGATTGTAAGCCCGGTTGTAGTTTTTTACACACCATAGCAATCACTCCACAATAGAGTTGCCAGATCCAATCGTGGTTGCTAAACGAGGAATGCCGGATAAAGTGCTGGTCAAAATCAGCCTAACAAACACTCCTCTTAAAAATTTAGCCCTGCTCTGAATCAAATAGTCCTGAGACTCTCACTGCTGTAGCCCCAGTGATTCAGCCGGTTTGCACCAGTTTGGGAAAACCGGTTGTTAACTTTTCTGAGCAGTTTGGCAAACTGGTTGTTGGAAGAAATCATTAGGGCGGAGAACCACTTGTTAAATTACTTGAATCCCACCACTGCCATTCCCGCACAGCCGATCAAAATACAGGGTGACCCAAACCCATTTTTATTTCATCGTCCAAATTAGTCCCTGTGTTATTTATCAATCTGGAAACAAGGCTGCAAATTTCCTAAAAAGCGCATCGACCAAGGAAGAGAATGCTTCAGCCACGCAGCAGCATCGCTTAAGTAGGAACAAACATAACGCAAAACAAAGGAACGAAAAATTTGAGCCGTGAAGCTTTGAAATGCGAAACGCCAGGAGGCACACCCCTGGGAATGGAGTTGCCAAAAAGAAATGTGGATCGACCCTTGAGTGCATGCAAATCAATGACCGCTCCCCCCACCCAAATTAAAGAATCCCAAATTAAGATATTATTGTTTTTCCCCTGAAGTTATTTTGGATTGCAGGAAGGAAAGGTGGCTTGGCGGCAACGAGAGCCTTTAGTAGGCAAGCAAAAAGCGGGTACGATCAAAGCAATGGTTTTGACCGGCAGCCCTCGGACCCAGAGTAGGAGGTCGCGGCGCAGCCACGGGGTACCTTAGTTGAATCTACGTGCGGTGGTAAGGAAGGCAGGTCCTGGTCTCTGAGGACTATGTGGGGCGCCTCGGGGCCGGCCATCCTTAGGGGCCCCGCTTGTGGCTGGTACGAGTTGTAGGGGGCCGCCCCAGGTTCCTCCAGCCTGGGGAGGCTTACACAGGGGTTACCGGCAGACGTCGAAGAGGCCGGGGCCCCCGTTTCTGGCGACGGGGAAAGGTAGGGGGGTGAAGAAGCCTCTGCTTTCTGCGAAGTGTTTAAAATAATAGGTTCCGGTCAAGCGGAGGCTCTTCCCAGCGCATCAAAAACATCGTTAGTATTGTTGGTTAAATGTAGAGGCTGCCCCGTCTCACCAATTAAGCGATTCTGGGCGGCTATCACCCCACAATCCCTACAGAGGTATGTTTTATATGCATTAAGTCAGCGGAGGACGTGTCCTTTCGCGTATGAAACTGGACTGATTTAACATTTTCCCCCTCAAAAGGACAATAAAGGAATAAAAACAGAGCAATTTGATGGACTTTGGGGAAGAAAAACAGAGGCAGACGCAGTAGATTCTCTCATTTCGCTAAGCGGGTCTCTTCATTTCCCTGCTAAATTCACCATGATCTATGGGAAATCCTCGAGTTACGACTGTTAATGGAGCCTCTGCATTATGGTCCTTAAGTTGTAACGGGCGTAAAATGGGTTGGTTACCTAACTGATTTTTGCAATCTTTTCTGCCGTGGTCTCTAAGGGCCAACGGTTTGCTAGGGGCGTGCGGTTTGGCCAAAAACCATCATAAAGTAGGATGGTGTCACTGTGGGAGACTGCAAATGGCTCAAATACCATTGTGTTGCTGGGGTGTGGTCATGTGACTATGGGGGGGAGGGTGGGGGTGGCAGAGAGGAGACCATTAAAACTTTGGATCTGGGTCGGTCATAACTATGGAAACATCACCAAGGTCACGATAAGAACATGGGAGTTGACTTAGTATAGAGGTCTTCAAACTTGGCAACATTAAGACTTGTGGACTTCAACTCCAAGACCTGAATTCTGGGAGTTGAAGCCCACAAGTCTTAAAGTTGCCAAGTTTGGGGGCCCCTGACTTAGTATAAGGTTGAAACTGAAAAATCAACGCAAAAAATGGTTGGTCCACCAAGGTTGCTTTTGAGAAACTGAGGAGGGATTAAACAACCCAAGGGTGTCCATTCAGGGTCCTGGGCTGCTGGGAACTGGAGAGCTTTGCCTGTCTTGGCTTCTGCTAACATCCTTACCGGTTGAGCAGTACAGTTTTTAAAACCCGGAGATTCTATCCTGGGATTTGGCTGTGGCTGGCCTTGGGACCCATACGGAGGGTAGTTTTGGTTCTCTGGATGGACCCCGGATGCTTCTTCTCTTACGGGTTCGGAGGAGCGCGTAATGGCGGATTCTGGGGGGGTCCCAACCTCATCGTTGAGTGTCTCGTCCAGCTCTTGGTCTGTGTAGGCTCCACCTTCTGTGTCCGTGTCCTCGTAGTCGGAGGTGTGCCGGCTGTCGGTGCTGTACATGGAGTACTCGCTACCTGGAGCCGACAGGTAGGAGAGCCGGTCATCATGTAGATCAAGGTCATCACTTGTAGTGCCATCGGCCTGTTTTAGATACATCAGAGTTGGACAGTTGAATGGGGAGATGGTGGGATCACCTTGGTCTCCACTGCAAAGGGGACCGAACAGCTACCTCTCCTTGGGAAGTTGCTCAAGAGTTAAACTCTTGAGTTTCCTCCAGACCAGGGGTCGTCAACCTTTTGCACCTCAGGGACCACCAATATGAATTTTGACTGGTGGTGGCTTGCCGTCATTGGTGGAAAAGTCGTTCCCATATTCCAGAGCTGCAGGAGTCACAGGATTGGCCCTTTGGTCCTCCCGGAGCAGCTAATCCTCCACTCAGGTGCACCGGCAGCTGCTCCAGGATAACCAAAGGGCCAGTCCTGTGACTACTGCAGCTCTGGAATATGGGAACGACTTTCCCACCAATGTCAGCAAGCCACCCCGGGGCGGATTTCCCTCCTCCGCCGTTGGTCTTACCTTCCAGTTCCAGCTCGCGTGGCTCTACTCGAGGTAAGGTTTGCGCTCGGCCGAAGGGTGGGGGGCCAGCAGGTGGGCAGCGCAGCCTTGAGTTCCCACGCAGCTTGGTTTAATTGCTTGGGGGGAGGGGATATTTCTCTGCGGACCACCGGTGGTCCCCGGCCCACTGATTGGCGACCACTGCTCCAGATTGAGGTAGAGAACGCTCAGAGGGTACCAAGGAGCCCACAAACTCAACCCTGAGTTACAAATATTCTCTTCCTAAGATACAGAGATCTCTTTATCTAAACCACTGCTATCATCAACATTTCTGAGTATGCTCAACATGCTTCCTATAGCTTTTTCCTAACACCAGCTGACAAGCTCCGGTGAGAGGTCCAGCCGAAGAAGTCAGAGACCTTGTAAGCTGCTGCTTCTTCCATCCAACTTCGCCATGAGGGACAGGAGGTCTACCAGCCAGTAGCCCACCAAGGCAGATGTTCATATTCCCCCAAAACTTGGCTATCAAGCATGCAAGTTTCAAGAAGGATCAAACAACCCTTTGCAAGCAATAAAGACCAACTGAGTCTCTATGTCCCTCCTCTCCTAATCCCTGGATTGGGGTGTATCTACTTCCTAGTTAGTTCTTCTTCAATTGGCCCGTACTGATTTCAGACATGGCTGCCTTCAAACCTTTTCCAATCCTAGGAAGAAGTTGACTTTCACCTAGAAGCCGTTGTGATACTGAACAACTTGAAACATGACATCTGCTAGCAAACAGGAAGAATTCCATACCTTTCCTTCCGACACCCAAACCAGCTGGTTTTGTTGTTGCTGGATCGCTTCCTTGAGTGCTCCATACCATCCGTCGTTCATGGAATTCAAGTTAATGGTAGCTAAAGGCAGACAGAAAAGAGGAGGAAAAGCCAAGAGAGAGAGGTGTGAGGCGCTGAAATGAAGTCACAGCCACAACTTACACCACGCACACAATGCTCTTCTTGGATTCTAGAAGCCTTGGAAGTTACAGAAGAGCATAATTTTCAGAGTTTAGACCTGGGATTCAGAAATCCTAAAAGAACTCCCTTCCAAAGTTAGGTTGGACTGGAGGAAATATTCCAGTTTTGTCATCTATCTTGCAAGTGACAGAATCCCAGGGCATCCCGCTTAAGAGCAAACAGGGTTTGTGAGACTTTGCAGAATGTGGCTGATTTCACTAAGAACCTTCAGTGATGCTTTTTGACATTATCTATTTCAAGGATACATTTTTTGGAAAATAGGCCCACAGGCATCAAGAAAAAAACATGGAAGATTTCAGGAAAGAAGGAAGGGAAGGATGGAGGAGAAATGAAGGAAGGACAGAAAGAAAACAGGGAGGGAGGAGAATGAGAAGGGAGGGAGGAAGGAAGGAAGGAAGGAAGGAAGGAAGGAAGGAAGGAAGGAAGG